GGGGGGGGGGGGTGCATTTTTTTACCATAACACTTGTATCAGTACACACCTCATTATGGATACAATTATACCAGTATAAAAGTTTATACATTATATAGTATACCCATCTAATTATGCCCACGTTCTGCTTTAACAATACTGACATAGCCAAAACAGTATAACATTACTGTGTTAGCAAGACCCTTGCTGGCAAAGCCATTCCTTTTTTCCAGGATCAACTCTAAAGAAGACTATAGAGGGCTTCTGCTTCTAACAGAGGCCTAATTTCACGGGGCAGGCACGTTTAGAATAAAGAAAATGGGACTCCCGGTGCGCTACATGATCAAGTTCTCTCAGACCAAGCACATAATGGTTCACAGACCTCTTGCTCTTTCTTTAGCATTTCCATGGCTTCCCGAAACTTCCTTTCCTTTTCCTCTGTTTCAGCAATAGTAGCTTGGTTCTGTTCTTCATAAGCCATGGCTACTACAGCCAGGATCAAGTTGACCAGATAAAATGAGCCCAGGAAGATGACCAGCATAAAAAAGAGCATGTAGATCTTCCCAGCAGATCTCAGGGTCTGTAAGCACAAAAGTAAACAGTCTGGCACATACTGAACAACTGTAAGTCTATAAAATGCTTTAAAAGATTTACATAAAAATGCTATTGAATTAGATATTTGTTGACAGCTTGAATAGGATCCAGCTTGCTATAAAAACAAGCCCATTAAAGGAAGTCAGACTTTCACCAAGAAAGAGGTAACATTTAAGCAAACCAAGTTTATGTCACGTAGCAAGATGCATTCTTAAAATGAAAATCCACCCTTATCTTCATAAATATTATATCCAAGTTTGCTTGGTATCAGATAAACTTGTAATCGATTGCAGTGCAAGCTTCCTTCACTCATGTCAGCATACTGTGGTCCTGCCACCTGGCTATAAATAATATCATGTTCTGGCGGGGAGTTGGTAAAAGAGATGATTGCCCAAACTCTCTATTGGCTGTCTAAATTCAGCCTTCTCAATTTGTATGTGCAGCCCTGCACCCATGAAGTGAATGACATGCTATTTAATTCCAAAGCGGTGTTCGTTTTTTCTGAAAGGAAAATAAATTGGGTACATGGCAGTACAAGGAATCCAAGTCCTGGATATATTCAGAAAGCCTGTACAGGCTGGTCTCAGGGGGTACAACTTTCCTTATGTCCTTGCCAACCTACTTCGGTCTTGACCTGAAGAAAGAAATCTTCAGTGGGTAGCAAACCCATGTGGACATCCAACCATAAGCATGCAACTCAGTGCCTATTCAGTGGCTATTTTTTGCATGCAACACCAAAAAAAAAGCAGGCAGTGCATGTGGCAGCAGCGTGTGCCACCCAAAACCAGAGCCTGGCTGGCTGGAAATCACACTCAGGCTGCTGGCCAGGCTTCCTGCCATGGTGCAACCCAGGGAGGCCCCCAGGACTCCAGGTAAGGCTGTTGGGGCCAGCAACCGTGCTGGTCCCAGCCTCCCCTACCCCACACAAGGTAACCTGCCATGTGCCAGAGGACGTGTGGCACGGGTGTTCCCTGGGGACAACTAGCAGTGGCACAAGGTGTGATTTCATGGTCTGCACTTATCTGGATGCAACCACTATTGCTATGCATGAAAACTGCAAGCAAATCTGTCAGCATTATGCCCATAGAGACCAGGCTTCTGGAATGAAACACCTGATCTGGGCAGAATGCTTCTCACTGCATGGATGCAACCAGTCCCCACATCCATTTACAGCTCATTCATTGCTATGACTGGCAAGAAATATGCAAAGTGCAGCAATGACTTTTGTAATAATATGGAAATCATTCCACTTTGAGCTAGACTGGAAACACTGCTTCAATTTACACTGGCCGGTGAACAACCAGAGAGGGTGACATTTTTCAGAAATAACTGACCTTATTCAGATTCAAGCATGTCAATTAGTGAAAGACTTTTCTGCCCACCATCAATCTCCTCCTGAGACATTCAGTAGGAGAACGGGCATAATCCACTATTTAGAAGGAATTTCATTGAAGCAATTGATGGCTCCTGACCAGAATGCAGAGAAGGGAGTCATTCATTCTGTATCTAAAGACCAACAACTTGTATTTCTTTAACTCTGACCATCGAGCTGGATAACTGGTTCATTTCACATTTTAACAAGCAAATCGGATACCTGTTGATAGAGACGCTCCCAGTAATCCTGTGTCATCAGGCGGAAGAGAGAGAGAAATGCCCAGCCAAAAGTATCAAAGCTTGTGTAGCCATGATCAGGATTTTCACCAGCCTTGTAGCAGCCATAGCCCTGTGGACACGTGCTGCAAAAAACAATAGAAAATAATGTACATTAGAGGAGTTGGAGAAAACTGCTTTCCCTGGAAATCCACATATTGTCGCCTTTTGGACTGGAAGTGCCAAAGCCCAAAGGGAAATTGGTCCGGTTGTGTGAAAGCACAGAATGGTTACAGATACACTTAAGGGTGAACATCTACATCACACTAAGAAAACCCACCCTATCTACTTCTTCCTTAATGCCAAACTTCCTTACAATATTATCTTCCTTTACATGATAACACTGGGCCAGGTATTTAGGCGTCTAACTCCCATTAATTTCAATAGGCTTTGATTTCATTGAGAGTTAAAAGGCTAAAGACCTGGGTGGATCTGGGATCATGTTCATATCTGAAATCACACCAAGTAATCTTATAGGATCATAGGAAAATGGGGCTGGAAGGGATGAGGTAATGTAGTCCAGCCTCCTGCTTGAGGCAGGAGCATCCCTGACTAACCTGTTCTTAGGATAAAGATTGCACAATTTCTCCGGGTAGCCTGTTCCAGCGCGTGATCGCCTTCATAGTCAGAAAGTTCTTCCTAATCGCCAACCTAAATTTCCCCTGATGAAGCTAGAAGCCATCACTGCCATTCCTGTCCCTATGGTGCCAGAAACAAGCCCATTTCCGCTCTGTAATCGCCCTTCAGGTATTTGAAGACTGCTTTCAAATTCCCCCTGCAGTCTTCTCTCCCCAGACTAAATAACCCTAGTTATTTCAGCCTTTCTTCATCAACATTGCCCCTGAGGTCCCTGGGCACTTTTGTTGCTCTGAGCTGGGTTCTTTCCAAACTGTCCACATCCTTCTTGAGGCATGGAGCCCAAACCTGGACACACTGGGCAAGGTGAAGCCTCACCAGTGCTGAATCGAGTGGAAGAGGCACTTCCCTTGATTTGCAAGTGACACTTCCGTTAATACAACCTAGTGCATGCTGTCGCCTTTTTCTGCAACAAGAGTACATTCTTGGCTCATATTCGGCTTACGGGCTACCATAACCTCCAAGTTCTTCTCTGCAGTACTGCAGCCTAGCCACTCATTCCCCAGTCTGTATTTGTACATGCAGTTATTCTGTCCCAAGTGCAGGATTTTGCATTTGTCCTTGTTGAATCTCATCTGATTGATTATAGATAATTTTTCCATTCTAGCCACATCACCTGGGTCCTAGCCCTGTCTTCCAGAGTACCTGGAACTACACCCAGCTTGGTGCAGTCTACAGATTTGCTATGTGGGCACTCAGTCCCATCATCCAAATAATGTTAAACAATACTGGACCCAGGACAGACCCCTGGGGAACCCCCACTTGATAGCTCCTCCCAACTAGATATTGAGTCATTGAGGACCACTCGTTGAGTATGATGATCTAACCGGATATATATCCACCTTACAGTAGTTCCATCTAGACTGTATTTCCTTAGCTTGTTAGTGAGAACGTTATGGGAAACAGTGTCAAGAGCCATGCTGAAGTCAAGATATACCACATCCAGTGCTCTCCCCCATCCACAGAGCCTGTCACTTTATCACTGTCTTGAGCACTATAATGACAGTGGGTCAAGATCAAGAGCTGATATCAACGTGCATAGCTCTACTGAAGCCACTGGATCTACACCAATTTATGCCATATGAGGATCTGGCCCAATAACCTGTTGTAACCTGATCTGGGATTTCACACCCACTCCAGGTAAATCTCTTAGCTAGACTTTTGTGATGACTTTTGTGCTTCTCCAATGGATCTTAGAAATTCCCTTACTGAATGGTACTCAGCTCGGGTTGAAATGACAGTTCATCAGGGCACTGTCAGGGGTTTTGAAGTTACTCAAATTTTCGCCTGTGTAAAACACTGATGCAATGCATTCAACAACCCTTTAAGGATTTTAGTTCAGTTTCTTTAATCAAGCAGAATTTTTTTTAATTAACCTGTTCTGAAATGCTGAAAAAAGTAATGGTGAAGTGTCACAGGATGGATGTATATCTATATTTCAGCTGGGCTTTACATGAAGGATGAAAAGAGAAACTTCCACATTTAATCAAAAGTAAACTAAACGAGCATATAATTTGGGACTGTCAGCCTCAGTGCAGCCATGCAAATTTCCATCAGCTGGACATGTGGCCAAATGAATACACTTTAAGGGAAAAAAAAGAAGAAACATTTTCAATTCTTTTGCTTCCAATCTTAAAAAAAAAAAAAAAA